CACTGAAACATTGCCGCTATCCTCGGAATATTGCTAGCCCACCTGGTGAATAACGGAACCACCTCTATCATGAAATCTGCTGACAAGTTCAAAGTTGGTCTCATATACAACTGGAAATGTCACAATTATGGTGTACTTACCGGTGAATTTGAAGTTTTATGGACTTTCAAACACTCTATGAATCATTTAATTACAATTACTGTTCATTCCGCATCTCTTATATTTCACGTCAGCACCTGTACGAAAATGCTACTTACCTTCCACAATTAACGTAATCGTTTATAATTCCCGCGTGAAATTGACATACCGTATTTTTTTTCAATTACAGTTTTGATTTGATGCTATATCTCATGAATTATTCAGTTGAAAGCATATCTCGAAAATTACCTATTGCCTTATTTGTACATTTCTTTTTAAATATTTCTCTCAAATTTACCAGTATTCAATCTATTTCTAGATTAACAAATCATATATATTCTATGAGTTCTAATTAGTGTACATTTGTTCATGCCTGTAAAAATGGCTGGTTTCTGTTCCAGAAATAAAATTATTATTATTATTATTATTATCAAAGGTCATTTTCGTCCATGTTAGTCGGTTATGTTGGATTGCAGTTCCGTAGCCGTTCGTTTACACTTTGTTTTTACGTTCTGTTGGCATTTATAGGTGATTAACATGTACTGATAGCATTCTTTTGTAAAATAGTACTGTTCTTCACACGAAAATAGCCACATTTTGACGTAGTCTTCATTGAATGGCACTATGTCGAAAGCTGCAGCTTCTACAAGAAATAAACTATTTGTGTAGATGACATTACCCCCCAACTACCCCATCTTCTTCATTCTAGAGATGTTTTGACGCATTCAGCATGAAACACTAATCATTACAACCAATATGCTAAGTGTGTGGCAGTCAGATTAAATGACGCGGACACCAACATAACTAGCCAGGAAACGAGAATTCCTATCAATCCAGAAAACATATAACAAAATTTTATTAAAAATTATTGACAAAAAAAATTTGCCGAGCGAAATTTCAACCAACATGCCGGATAAGTCCAGCCCTTTAAAGCATGTCATTCAGAGTCGTGAACCACTAATTTTTAGAATCTCGAGGTTTCCATCAACACAGCATATGGCCCTAATCGACGTTCAGGAACTACAATAATTAATTTCATGTTTTGACTCAACCACCTTAAATGCTACACCACCCTAATCTCGTCAGGGTAACATTATTTACTGATGAGCATTGTGCATTGTAATGTGTGGAACGCATTTTATGCAACGTGATAGGTGGAGGTGCACATATATCAGTAAACGCAGCTAATTAGTACAAGGTGGATATAGAATAAAGTGTGAGCTTATTACCGTTGTTGTCATCAACATGCCATTCTTCAGTGAGGGACTGTCATATTTTTCCCTGAGTGTGGTCATCACGGCCTGCTTTTGTGATTCATGTGAAACATTCAAGGCTCATGTATAAGGCACAGGGTACTGAGCAGTCGTTTGTTTAGATATCTTACACTCAAGTATGTAGCGAGTAATGCTAGATTCAGAATGTCCACTAATGTGGTATTTTCAGAGCAATACCTGTTGCCTTTTTCAACCAGAAAATTTCCCCGTAAATGCTAAATACTGAAGCTGCTGTATAGGCCATGAAAGATGTGTCTTTTTCTTAGGTCAACGTGCCTATTTTGATTGACCCTCTGTAGGGTCAGTGTATAGTGAATTCGTGACTAATCCACATCAAGACAATAATGAAAGCAAAACACACAGTTAAGAGAAGAGGCTCTTCCCGGAGAATTCACTTTCCTCTCCACCTACACGACCGCATTTACATCCATTTTATGTGAAAGAAGGTGGTAACAAAGATGATGAGTTGTCATAATCGTGGTTTTTAGTGTAGCCAATGAGTAAGAGGAGTTGAATAAATGCATTGCACTTATGCAGCGGGATGAATAATCTAGTGAAGAAGATGTGGTCATCATCCACAAAGAATCAGGGAAAATGTGGATTTAGGTAGGGGTTCTAAAGGAATACAAGGGTTATTCAGAGTCAAGCAACAAGCAAACAAAATTCAGGTCAGTAGAAATCAACAATTAGGTTGTTACCATGATTGTAGTGGTTGCATAATCTTCTGTTATATGCATAGCCTCGGTTTTTCCCAATCAATGGCTAAGGCTTCGGTAGTGCAAAGGAGACGGAAGCGTATTGCCTTTGGCAGGTTATTCTCTTTGTAGGGAGACATTTGCTGAGGTGAGATGACCAGTAGTGTCCGATTATCCTATTCTTTATGGAGCCACTGTTGTGTGTCTGCAGCCATGCGAGATGGTGTTCTTGACCCTTTTAAACGGGATACGCGTCGAATGACAGATGTACCTAACTCCACTGCAAAGCGAATTTTCAGGCCTGTTAAGCTGCAAAACCGTCTAAGGTTTCGGCATGCGCCTGATTTTTTCTTCTTAAGGATAGCTATTATACTGCTTATCGCAAGCCCTCAGTAAATAAAATTATTTTACGACTCAACAAACGAAACAGTCATTGAAATTTAACCCTCCGAAAAGGAAACCAAAAACTAAAGGACAGCCTGTAGATGTTAATAAGCATGAACAGTTAGCATAAAAACTCACAACAAATGAAGCAATGAATGCCATTTTGCAAGTGCATCTTTTTTACGGTCAAGTGGGTTAGTGTGACTGTCTCGGGGCAGTCCTTACAAGCACTTGCTTTTCCTGTATGCTATGGTCACGGTATCAGAGACGCGCTACCGTGGGTTGCCTGTTGGCAGTCGTCTAGTATTCAAAAGTATCTAATCCCACATATTAACCCTCATAAAAATTAGTAGAAGTAGTACAAAAGTTCATTATTATTCAGTTATTCCGAGATATTTCCAAACTGTAGAGCTGCCTTTGAAGCAGTTCATGACAAAACAAGGTTATGCGTCGAAGTGCAGTGAGTTATATAATACTTGAAGACCACCTAGTTTTGGGGACTTTTTCGAAGACTTCCACACATAACATGGTGAAAAGGGATGTGTAATATTTACATGTAAGGCATGAGACCGTTGGAATAGAATCCGTTCATCATGCTATCAATCACTGGAAACAAACTAAGAAAAACGGTTGGAAAAAGTATGACGAAGAATTGTGGTGTACATTGTCTAAGATAATTTGTTTGAACTACAAAATGTTGAGCTCATCACTCACTGCACACTTTCACGCTAGAAATTGACACTGCTTATTTTGGCTGCAGTACCAAATGAATACAAATCATTTAAACAGTGAGAGAAAAATACTCATCTTACAGAGATACACATGGCATTCAAAGTTAAGAAACCGAGTTTGTTACAAACTGCTTTAATGTGGCATGAGAATAAATAGTTTTTAACACTTTTTAGCAATTAGATTTCTCTGTCGCAGCTGCCTAAAGAAAATAGATGCAAGGAAGTAAGTGGGACCTGACAATCTTCATCCAGGGCTTCTCAAGGAGATATCAGCTCATATAGCCAACCCACTGATTGCAATCTTCAAGCAGACTCTCCTAAATAGAGTGTTACCGCAAGACTGGAAAGGCGCTATCCACAAAGTAGGATCAAAAAAATGTTATTCTAACTGCAGGCCTATTAGTCTCACCAGCACCTTAATCAAGACACTGGAAAGAATCATCAAGAAAGCCTTAGCCTTTTCGCCAAAAACGGCTTATTGTCCAGAACACAGAATAACTTTCAAGGAAACACCTCATGCTTCTCGAACCTTCTTACGGCAAGGAAAAGCTGAATCAAGTAAAGGGACAACAGAAAACCCGTCAACCTCGTCTTCATAGACATAGGAAGCCTACTAAACTGGATTAGAGAATTAATTATAGGTAGGAAACATATTTAGGATCAACTCAGAACTCTCCTCCAAAACAGTAGTACGTAGTGGAGTGCCACGAAGCACTGCACTCGGCCTCTCTTATTTATTTTGCACATCAATGAGTTATCTGGTTCCTCGATGGTCCTTTACGCAGTTGATTTAAAAATTTGGTGAGCTGAATAGTGGCAGTGTTGCGTTCACTTTGCACAGAGACATTGCGAAATGCTCAACCATGTGCGTTGAATACACAGGCATCAGTTCCTACGAACTAGAGGGAATATCACTCCCGTTAGTTCAAACTCCTCCGGATTTAGGCATCACAGTAAATCAAAACTTATAACCACAGTGGATTGTCGCGCGGTGGTTGCTCGTAGTTCCATATGTCTATAGGCGATTTACAGAGCCTTTACTAGGACCACCAGAGATATGTTCGCCTCTGTATATACATCTCTGATGAGATCAAGACGGGAAAACTGTATCCAGGCAGCCAGTCCTTCTCTTAAAGGGGACTCACATATTGTAGACAGGGTTCAGAGAAAGTGATCACGTGCGATTCTTGTCATGACTAATTTGTCATACAAGGGAAGACTAAGCAGTTTAAATCTCTTTTCCCTGTCATATAATAATCAGAGAGGAGATTTGATTACAATGTTTAAAATATGAAATGAAGACTGCAGACCTGGTCTACTCTCTCTTTTCCTTCCCACGAAGTCAGAACACCTTAGAAGATATAGGAGAAGAGTTCAAAAGCGAAGCAGAAGCATATGCTCCATTGGTTCCGACATCGTGCGTCGGTGGCACAGTGGTTAGGACTCTCGCCGACCATGCACATGGTCCGGGGTTCGAACCCCTGCCGGCGCACACCCGATATCTATGGTATGCCTGAATTTGGGCAATCGATATCCATGCTGAAAGTTCCACACTTGCACTGAAAATACGGTGTGGAAATCAAGCTGTAAATCAAAAAAAAAAAAACACACTCTCAGAAGAAGTGGTGTCTGCAACCTCAACTGATTCATTCAAGAAGGGTTTAAACAAGCAGAGAAATTTGCTTGAAATGGATTGACGTAGGCCTCAGGCCTTTTACACTCGAAGAAGAAGTCTGAATCTGCAAATCTTGTTTTAATGATCCATTTGGTCTCCGTGAATGCCAGTAGCATTTTCAAGTAGTAACGAAACCATGGCCGGTGAGCTGATGCTTGGAGACTTCTTTCCAGACTTCACTACTAACGATTTTGTAAGTTAATTCGAAATTCTGATTGATTATATAGTGTTCCACACAGCCAAGCCAATTATGGATGTCCGAAATCTTTGAGACACTCGATGAGCAACATGTCATGAACGAAGATATGCTGGCTGAAAATTCGCCCGATGGCATGAAGACTAAATTAGAGGCCCCACTTTCTGACATTTTGAATGGTGAAGGTAAATATCGATTTGTAATATTCCGTAGATACTGCAGACGACTTTTTTGTCGGAGACGAAGTAGAAATAAGTGAATCTACTCCGTTAGGATCTATTCTGCTCGATGACACCGCCAATTCTGATGAATCCAGTGGTTATGCTTCGTGCGTGCAGTCCTCCAAAAGTGCCTCACCGAATCCGCCTCGTCTGAAGACTATTCCGTCACGTCATTCTGCTGTTCGTGTAGTTTCACCTCCAAATACAGTGTCGTTAACTAATTCGCCGCGAAAAATCCATGTAACGCGCATCGATCCTCCCAAGTTTGGGACTCATACAGTTCAAGCGGTTATACACAAAACTCCTCCGAAGACTTTGGACGTAAAAGCGAATCGTGTGCACTTCATTTTACGACCATTTTCTGCAGAGTCTTCGAGTGTATCACTATCATCTGACGCAGTTAATTCCCAGCAAAAAACAAGTACTCCTCAGAAAATATCTTACTTGAATGAAGGTTCACGTGTTGCAAGTAGGTTGATTATAGTCTGTTGTACATCCCACTTTTCAGATTCTGAAGATATTTATGAATTAATGCATAACACTAAACAAGAAGCACTTTATGACCACAATGAGGTTTTACAGTCATCAACATCTATTGGTTCGCATTCGAGTTCGGAATCAGACAGCAGAGACAATTTTGACGATGAAATGACATGCCAAGAATTCTATCTAGACCATGAAAACATCACTACAAGTTCACCTAAGCTGCTAGCTAGTCATTTAAATTTCGATCTTACAAGTCATTCTGAAGATATATCATCTGCCAAAGGTCTTTCCAGATTGTCTGAGATTGATTCATTAATATACAGTGACAGTCCACTAAATGAGTATCGAAAGTCAAATAAAGTTGCACAGCAGCACTTTTTTCACGATCAGGTTAGTAAGCCAATATTACATAAGTGGTAACATTATATCTATCATTAGCTTAGCAAGTGTTTTTGAGTGGTATATGCTCTCATCAGCAATTAAATGTGGGCAATGTCCCTTCACAAATTCATTTTCTGAAATTTTCTTTGTAAGTGTAAGACTAATAATACTGTGATTGAATGCAATCTCTATGTTAGTAGATTAACTTACTGCCGAACCATTTTTACACAAATAATCAATGGGAGGTATGAAAGTCAGGAAAGCAACTTCACATTGCTTTCTCTTTCTTGACTTTCGTTTTGGTGTGTAAAGTTGGTTATTTAAGTTGGTAAATCGTTTCATGTATTCTTCACTGTAACTTACTATAAGTAGTACTGTTTTGAGGACGACGTGGAGTACAAAATTTTCCACGGGTGAAAGCTGAGTTGGTTTGCGATTTCAAGTGATTTATGAACTGAAAGGTCTCAATCCGACCGAGATGGAATCTTCAATACTCATCGACGTAATGTAATATGTTCTGCGGACGACCTTATTCTACTTCCGTTAGAATCATAGAAACATTATTTTCATCGGCCTTATTTATTTCTGTTTACCTAATACGATATAATTACCTAGTACACGACGACTATCTATTGTATGTTACCTGACTGCATTATGGTTTTTACCCTTAAAAAATCGTTGTAAACTGGGAAGGTTAGTCTGAGTACTATCACTGTAGCACTACCGCTAGTAAGATTAATATGCAGAAAATGTGCTATTGACAAATTGTGCGACTTTTCAAAGTATTGATTTCGAGCAAAATTATCGTCTTCTATTACATTAAATGCTGCTTTTTGCAGAAGTCAGTATCTTTCAAGAATTTAGTTCACTAAAGGCTGATATTGGAATGGTTTTCTTAAGATGCAGCTAAAAGTTTGCTAATTATTTCAGGTGATAATTATGGTGTAGGTAAAAGTAGTGTTTAGGTAATGATAAGCCAATCCGTGAATAAGAAACTTAAGAGTTTAACATTCCGGAAACGTCAAATATATTCTATAGTTTCAGAACAGCTTCATTGAAAATAAATGTTTTTATTTTGAGTTGGTAGTAAAAATAAGTGGCCTCCCTGTTATTAGCTGTAGAAGTTATATGTCTAGATTCCTTTAACTGCATTTAATTAAGTTTTTATTAATACGAATAAGTGCAGATTTTAAACAAGTAACAAAGATTAATAAAGCAGCCACTTTATTAAACTTTGTTGCTTTTTGAAGTTCTTACTGGGAAATAAATGTTTCCAATTCTTACAGTACGCATTTAATGGAAACAAGTACAATACGTTTTGAGTAACCAGTCTTCATTGTGGGAAAAAGCTTTGTAGACACCAAGCTGATTCACTTGTATGCATATTTTCAGTAATTTTTCACTGAAATGTTAATATAACCTTATATATTTTCAGCACACAGCCTTTTGAGATCATATTTATTGAAGTCACTTCTGGAGCCATTTTTTGCTTAGAATATTACTATAATTTTTTTCTTGGTTTTTTGAATACAGCTGCACTCACGTATGCGTGGACCAACACGAATTGGACGATCTGAAGTAAGTTGTAGTATGTACTGGTCTCATTAAACAATGAATTAAACCAAAACTTATTTATGGAAGTTCCGTGCACAGCATCGCGATATGTTTTGATATTTGTAAACTCAGTTTCATAGCGAGTATATATATATACATATGTATATATATATATATATATTTCATAGCTTAAATAGCTGTGTGTATAACTGGTTAGAATAATGTAAGTTGCTTCGGGATGCCTGAGTGTTCATGAATATTTATTTCCACTGAAGCATTGTGTGCTTGTAGCTTACGTAACCCACCCAACATCTGAAGCAGGTTATATACTTCATTCTTCCGTTGCGCTGAATTTTGTTTTGCATCTGTGTTTTATCATGGTGCAGTCGTGTATGACCATCGTGAATTTACCGCTCGCTTAAAGGGTGTATAAATAACTGACTTCCTTTTGATATTAGGAATAAGTGGTTAAATAATTTTCGTGGTATGATACAAAATTGTTATCAGTGTTTCGGCTATATTCACTCCTCATGATCTTCCAGATTCATTAAATCCCCATTATTATTCATGTAATTCTTAAAATGAACTGGGTTGAATGTTCACCGTAGAACTTTGCACGAAAATGCAGCAGTTCAAACTGTCGCATCTCATAAAGCAAACATAGAAGGTTTAGCAAAAAAGGGAAAATGCAAATTATGTGTGGAAAGAGAATACTCTAATAGAGAATAATGCAAATTTAATCCATCCAGGTGATAGAGTAAATTCATCCGCCCCTGTCACCAAAAGTATCTATCCGTTGTCTCCTGTTTCCATGAGGACCCCAGCTAGGTAGCCTACACCTTCCTGTTTAGCTCAATCCGGCAGTCTAAGACTTCATAGATAGGTGCCACGACTCTTCGTTGCTTTTCTTTTTCCTACTATGTGTGTGCTTTTATGAAGCCTGGCAACTTGAAATGTTACGATTGTGTACAGAGCTCTGCGTTGAAATCTTAACTCACTTTAGCTGACTTAAATTTATGATCGCTTCATATTTCATGTCCTAACATGACTATCGTATGTTAGCCATTTTTCAGGTTGACTCTTTAATATATGTTTGGTTTGCTTTGGTTGACACCCTGTATTTTGCCTCGTAGATTAAAAAAACCGTAGTTGCAGCGTAAGTATATTTTAATCAACTACACGTTAATACTGATTAAGTGAAACTACGTCAAACTATCATAGATAAAATTTAGTTGTTTTCTGCAGGAGACATTTTGTGTATTGTGCTAATATCTTTATCCTGATTTCCACTTTTTTCGGGACTGTATCTGATCAAAATGAGTTGTACCTCCAGGTAGGCTTCACTAATATTTGAAAAAATTAAGCCTATGCAAATGTTTTATACGTGCGAACATGTTTCGTCAGGCAACCGTTCGTCCTAGTAATTACAGATAGTGCAGTTTCACCTCAAGACGTTGCTTCGTATAAATCGAGCCTAACTGTAATAAAATCTTGGTTCCAATGTATTCAAAGATTTGCCTGTCATTGTGAAGTCGGCTACAATGAATTTGCAACCAAGTAGAAATGTATGCAAATGGCTACGTAAATGTCACGGATACTCTATGTCCTCACGTGTCACAATAAATTGGATAGAAATGTGTGGGTTGGCTTTTATTTGATGTTCCACCTTTTAAGAAGTTTTACGTCTAATAGTTTCAGGATTTTGCCAATCTGTCTGCATGTCTGAAACTCAAGCGTTTAGTCTAAGCTGTTAAACCTATCTGACAGGGTGGACATAACACATTAAAAGTACAAATACAAATCAATTTATGTATTGCCTGTAAGCTGTGTGTGTCTTTTGAAATCGAAACGCCACATTTCAGGCAGCTCCTTGGTTTGCACTAAATAACAGCACCACTACTATCGAAATTTTTAGAGCTTGAAGTTCTGTTTTCCACCCAGAAGAGTCGAAAAAGTCGTCTTAATTATTAATACCTTATTGACGTAAAAAAACAAGTTTAATATTTTTGGACAGGCCATTGCTAAAGTAAGCATATGTGCCGTACAGCAGCAGTGAAATTAAAATATAAATTGAGATAACAATAGATTTTCAATACATGTTGCGGTGACAGTGGTGTCAACATTGAAAGAAAAACATTTTTTTGTAAACGGAATACCAGGTGTGATAATGACTAAATAAATTGTTTATAATTTTGTACATAAATAGGCATGGATTTTATTATAGGGAGTGAATCTGAACGGAATGTTTCGAAATTTCAAGCTTTGACCATTGCAGTGTTGATAAGTATCTTAATGATATAGATCCTTATTTTGGAAAACACTCGCTGATTTCAATGAAATATGATGTTTTCACAATTTCGAATCATGTACTGTTGACAGCAGAAAACTTCTTGCTGTTGTGGTGAAAGTCTCAGTTTTAGGACGACTGTTCCTAGTATAATGCTGAAAACATCTGTTTGGGGGGCGTTTTTTATTCATTTCAAAAGTGGTTACGTATGTAATAATGACTTCTACTTACTTACTGCCTATTTGTATTATCGGAATATCCCTAATCACTTTGACAGGTCATATATCACATCATAAGGGTGTTCCAATTAATGCAGATTAGAAAAAAATATTTGTCGCGAATAAAAGTTTTTTTGGTATTGGTTAGGGTGAACATTGTTTTTCTTGTGTTACTTGTTTGATTCGTTGGTTTTTGGGAATGGAAATGTTGTTTATCAGTTAAAAAAGTAAACTGGTTAGCGTAATATTAGTTATTTGTGTACTTACATGTTATAATATTCCTCTTTGCAGATCAATCATCCTCATATGCTTGTACTCACAGAAGAAGAAAAACGTACATTAATTGCTGAAGGTTATTCAATCCCAACACGCCTGCCTTTATCTAAGCAAGATGAAAGAAATCTTAAAAAAGTTAGACGGAAAATAAAAAATAAAATAAGTGCTCAAGAAAGTCGTCGCAAGAAAAAAGAATATCTAGAGGCTCTAGAAAGAAAGTAAGTTGTTCCTTCTAACCTGCTAAACTTTTAAGATACAGAATTCATTTTTTATGACATTTTTTTAAATTAAAAAGAACTTTTTGTGTTCAGATAATTTAATATTAGTTAACTGTAATAGTTTCACACCTGTCTCTGCTTTATGGTCTAATTAGCACTTGAAAATCTCTGTTATTTCCTTGACGAGCAATGTTAGCTGACTTAAAATCGGGTTGGAAAAGGGCTAGTGGTGGTCAAACCAAATCCACAACAGTTAGATTAAGGAGATTAGGGAGGTTTTGATTTTCTGGTTGGGGTCCTCAGGATGTTAGAAACCGATGGCTGGAAACAACTGGTGTTATGGCTCAAAATCTTCGTTGTCAATGATGGCGCAGATGCATTCACTCTTTGTGATTTATCATATCCAATAAAATTCTATTGTTCTTTCATGTTGCTATTTCTTTACCCTTCACACTTTTGTTTATTATCTCTCTTTTGAATCTGTGTTTACTCTCTTCTCTTGCTTTGCGTGCTAAATGGAGAGTTGCAACTCAAATTGCCGCACCTCTGTGCAAATTTCTGTGTTGAAACCAGTCAGTCAGTCACGTATCATAAGTATATTAAATTTCAGACGTGTTTGATCACTAAAACAGTGTACTGTTCACATTTCCGTTTTAACAATCCATTATTTGATAGTTCACCTACTTTAGATGTGTAAGTTTAGTTGCATTCGATTGATGAGGGGAAATATATACTTCCAGGTAAACTTTGTCAAGTCCATAAAGTGCTTTTCTGTGCAAAAAAATGTCTTATGTGTTAAAATAGACCGTTGCGTTAGTTTACTAATTACTGCATTACGATATCATACAAAGCTATATTTCATCAGGTAATCCTATTGCCGTGTTAAACTAGTTATAAATACTGTGATCAGACAGATTTCCAGGTTTCTTTTTGGTTTTAAGTAACCTAATAATGCTTCTTTTGTTTTCATACAAAATACTTTATCTAATCGATTCTCATTTATAATAATTTTATAAATAGTGAATATCATATACCCAGTGCCCAAATGTTTTCAAACTATTAAACGTGAACTTGGTTTGGACATGTATGCCTAATTTATTGATGTTGGCTTTTAAAATACTGTGCATGTAGTAGAAACTTTTCAGTCTTCCTCCAGTCACGTATTAAATGTTAGTTTTTCAGTAACTGTGCCTTGTAGCTTAAACATTCACATTCACAGTTTAGGTTTTTATGATCGATCATTATCGTTCTTTCGTTCATAATTCAAATGAAGTAGTATTTTTGAATACGAATCTTATTGAGCTTCATTTCTATAGTTCTCACAAGTTTATTCATTCAGTTACTCTTGAGAATCACTGTTTAAACTCTTTTCTCATTGAGAATTTTTTATTTACTATCCAATTTTTCTTAGGTTATTTAAGAAGAACTTTTTGTGTACATGTTTTACACTCATAAATTGTTGGACTGTAGTTTCTTCTTATGATAGTGGAATTCTAGCGAAAGATTTAAAAAGTTCTTGAATTGTAATACAGAAACAGATCATTTTGCAGATGTTTGAAAATTTGGTTGTTTTTTACATCTAGTTGGAGAGTATATGGTTTATATTTGTTGTGCGTGCGTACTGTGTAGTATGGCATTTTTCGTAGTTCAGAAGGTAAAAAATATTTTTTTCTCAATTGGTATTTAAGTAAGCATATTGTCTTTTCGATTATTACATCTTTACTTTTTCTTCTTGTTGAGGTGTGTCCGATTGGTCTATGATTTGGTCTGTTTCCCTACTCTGGTTTACGTGAGGAGTCTATTGAGATTTTGGTCGTTCATTCGTGTTTTTGTGATCACTCCTCTAAACAAAAGTTGACGTTCATGTCTTGAAGCATCTTCTCTTATTTTACATTTAAATGGAGAACAGTAGGTATGGCATGAAGAAATGAAATGTTAATCAAAAACTCGCTTTTTCATGCAGATGACAGTGAGCGACACATTGTGTGTGGGCTAATGAAACTATCTAGCTGAAGAATTATCGGTGAGTGAAGCGGATTTCGAACCGGTGAACAACTGGTTGGAATTTGAGCGCCTAGGTCGATTAACCACAGCTCTACAGTAGATGTTGCTAGAATACAATACTCGTTTCAGAAAAACATAAGAATGAGTCAATGTTTTTCAAATGTAGACCGAAATGTATTGTTTGAACTTTGCTTGAACTGTAAGATATATATATATATATTCGTCTTGCCACATCGTTTAACTAAAATCACCCCAGGTACTAAGTCAATCATATTGCGTCTGTTTAACATGATAGTGTGTCAAAGGCATATATATCTGCCAAGGAAATGCAGTGACCTAATAAGAGAGTAGTGTTAGGAGTACTATGGAATTCAAATAATACCCTGAGTACATTTATATGGCTGTAGTTTTTCGCGTATTTCTTCCTACTTACCGATTTCATCCTTTAATTCCAAGAGGAACATAGGGCTTCAGCCGTGCGTCTCCATTGCGTTCGGTTCTCTGCTGGAGTCTTCACCTGGCTCCATGTCTGCCCACACGTTTTCATCTCTTCACATGACCTCCTCCAGGTCACCCTTGCACTGACGACCAACTCGCCGCTTCCCTCTCGGGTTCCACTAGAGCAATGGTTTGTCTAGTGATGTCACTTTATGGCTTGTTTCCTCAGAGTATGGCCAATCCATCTCCATTTCCTTCAGCATATTTGTTTCACAATCGGTTCCTGGTTGGTTCGCTCATTGCCAGAGATCTCTGTTGCTGATCTTTTCTGGCCATCTGATCTTGAGTACTGAGCGAAGACAACTGGCTGTTAATGAAGGTCTGTAGTTTGTTTGAGATGCTCTTTATGACGCGCAGTGCAAGTCTCTAATCCGTATGGTGAGTAGCATTGACTTCACATTGGAGTTGAAAATCCGGATCTTATTTTTGATGCTGAGTGTTGTTGACCTCCACACAGACTTGAGAGTAGTGAAAGCTTGTCTTGCTTTTCCGATTCTTGCTTTGATTTCCTCGTCAGTTCCGCCCGCCTGTAGTTGAAACGATGCTTCCCAGGTAGGTAAAAGAGGTTGTTTCTTTCAGGTTCCTCACATTTGTACGGATTGTTGTCTGTTGTTGTTGTTGCTGTTGGTAGTGTTGCCCAGGAATCTTCATCACCTCTGTCTTCTCTATGTTCACCTGAAGTCATATCTTCTCTGGATGCTTCTTCTGCCAACTTGTTGCTTTTCGCTTGCATATCTTCCAGTTTGTGGGAAATCAGACATATATCATCGGCGAAGTCCAGATCCTCCAAGTTTTTCGTGTGAGTCCATTTTATGCCTGTTTCCTCATTGCCCACTGCTTGTCGCATTATCCAGTCTATTGCAATCAGGAAAATCATTGGCGATAGTAAGCAGCAGTCTTACTCCTGTCCTCTCTTCGAAGGATTCCGTAAGTTTCCCGTTGTGGATTACTTGGCATGCAGCATTTTCGTACAGCTGTTGGATGAGATGTATAATTGTCGGTGGCACCCCGTAGTAGCGAAGTAGTTGCCAAATCACCTCTCGATCGACGCTGTCGAAGGCCTTTTCAAAGTCGATGAAGTTGAGATGGAGAGGAGCGACTGTCGTTCCAAGCTTTGTTCAATGATGATCCGTAGTGTGCCGATTTGATCAACACATGACTTGTTTCTCCTGAATCCAGCCTGTTCCGGTCGAAGTTTTTAATCCAGGTTGGCTTGTTTGATTCTCTCCAGGATGATGCGGCTTAGTATTTTGCTTGGGATGGACAGGAGTATAATTCCGCGCCAGTTCTTGCATTGACTTAGGTCTCCTTTCTTTGGTAGTTTGAATAAGTAACCTTTCTTCCAATCTTCAGGTACTTTGCCTTCTTTCCACACCTTCTCCAGTAGTGGAGCCATCAAGTTCGCTGTTGTCTCTAGGTCCATTTTCAATGCTTCTGCTGGGATTTGATCTGGTCCTGCTGCTTTTCCAGCTTTTAGCATCTTGATTACTTTCAGGACTTCTGATTTCGTCGGGGGGTTGGTGTTCACTAGTAGCTCTGTCTCTGTTGTTGGTATTGTTGGGCGCGTTGTCGGTGGTGGTCGATTTAGGAGTCTTTTGAAGTGTTGAGCCCAGTGTTTCCTTTGCTCCACTTCTTTGGTGAGTGACTTTCCATTGTCATCTTTCACCGGCTTGATTTGTGTCAAACGTTTGCCCGATAAGTACCTAGTTGTTTGTTAGAGTGTTGCGAGTTCTCCTTTGCCTGCAGCTTGTTCTGCTTCACTTGCCATAGCTTCATAATATTTCCTTTTGTCTTCCCTGGCACTCTTCTTTTCGATTTTGTTCAGTGTATTGCAGCATTCAACTCCTGTTTTTGTTGCTCGTCAATGCACTGAATAATTTTTTGTTTTAACACCCTTCTCTCTTCTATTAGTCTCCATGTATGTGTGTGTAATGAGCCACTGCTTGCCCTGCCTCTTCTTCCTGCCTAGAACTTCCATGCAGGTTTGACTCCACTGTCTTCAAGTTTTTCATCTCTTTATTTTTGTATTTTTAAAGATCAGTATCACTGACGTGTAGTTTCTGGTCATTGTAGTTGAAATAGTAAATTAGCTTTTGTAAATAATTGGGATTTACTGTAAGTTTCTCGGCGTCGTATGCTATAAAGGTTTTTTTTCAGTTGCAGTTTCCACTGTTCAGTGTCAGATTGTTTAACAAGCTAACTCAGAATCTCCAAGGTCCACACTTGCATGCTGAATAACTGGGATTCAGAATAGGTAGTACATGCAAGTGTAACATCGCATTATACATTGTTATACATTTCATTCAATTTGAAATTAATTTGTCCGGTTCACTTCGTGAAGCACCAAAATGTGTTATTCTATTTCGCCTAGTAAAACGTTGTTCGTCACATAGCATAGACATACACGACATGAAATTTGGTGTGCCATCTTTGAAGTACTAGTTAGAAGAATCAGCATTTCTTATACGCCTTGCTGTCAATTCACTACAGTCAACCGG